TTTTTTTTTTTTTTTTTTTTTTTTTTTTTTTTTTTTTTAAGAATGTCCTCTGCTAAATGCTCGAAGGTACATGTGACACACCTGTGCCAGATCGACTAACAAGCGTCACGGTTTCCGGAAATAACAAGCTTTTACAATCGCCAGCTGCCCATTACATTTCCACTCGGCGATTCTTGCATCGTCTTCAGTCTGCAGCAAAAAAGAAAAAGAGAAGAGAAATCGTAATCTGCTATTCAAAATAAGCTTTTAATTAACCAAGAAACTCGTTAAATCTCAAATTATTGAGATGATCAAGAGGAATTGTTTTTCATTAAATTTTATTGTTCTGTTGTAAAAAGAGATAAAAAAAAGAAATGTATAAAGAATGTTTGTTTTATTAAAATACAAATAATACATATTTTAAGAAAAAAATATTGCGAAAGAAATATTTATAAAAATTGTTTGATATAACAAAATATACATTGTGTAATAATACTTGAATACATCATATGAAGAAATCATATAAAGATGAACTTTGTTTTTTTTTATTTCACATAAAGTTATGTAATTTTTAATGTATCAATTAAAAAATGCTGATATTTATATTGAAAAATTTTTAATTTACAAATATTCTAATTCGAAATTCAACAAAGTATAAATTTTTCGACACAAAATATTCTTTTTTTCAAAATAATGAAATACATCGATTATGAAAATTAAATTTCATATAAAAAAAAATCTAAAATTAATTTTTAAACAATATCTATAATTTTTCAATATATAAAAAAATTATATAAATATATAACATATATATTTATTACGTTTCTTTATATCAAACAATTTTTGTAAGAATATTTTCTTAATAATATTCTTTTCTTAAAGTATTTCATTGCATTATTAATAACAGGTACTCCAATATTCATTTGGAAACCAGTAACTTGTTATTCGTTACGCGATCATGATGGATAAGTTTGATAAAAATTGCTGTTAATTAGCGAGCGGGAATCGCGAAAATTTACGATAAAAACGAGAATGATAAGATCGTAGACGATACCGATATACGCCCATCGTTTCGCCTACAAATTGTTGCCTTCATTCGTGTAGTTGTTTCTGAGTAGAGGAATTTATGAATTGAAATTCTCGAGGCTTGAATTGTTTCTTGTGACGAGCGAGTGATTCGACTATTAAAATTTGAGGTTATGTTGTACTTTAAATGGATATTATATACCGCATTTATTATTAGTGAAACGTATTATCTGATATTTTTCTATTTTTCGAGATACATTGTAATATTTTAAATTCTATACGAGTTTTATCTTTGAAATAAGATTAGGAGACCTTATGTGCTTATTAGTGATTTAAAATAAGGTATAATTTAATCTTTTAACATGGAGATTTCAAAGAAAATGATAAAATCTTTAATTTTCATATACGTTTTATACATAGTTAGACAGTATTTTAATTAAAGAAGGTAGCATAATTACAATACAATTTTTAACCATATAGAATTTATTTTAATGTTTTGAGCGTATATACAAGATGATAAGAAAAAAAGATTTATATCTTTAAAGATAAATAGTACATACCAAATAAAGAAAAAAAGTTCTAATAAAAATAATCGAAAAAGTAATACGTGCAATGTGATAAACAATTTTAATTTTCAAGCAAATAACTTGATCTTTCTTGATTAAATGTTTTCTAAAAACATTCTTCTATTTCCATATAAATTTAAAATCTTATCTCAAAATCACTCTTAAAAATAAATCACGCTTAAAAATAAAATTGTTTATAATTTTGAAAATATTAATTTTATGATCTATGTTTGTTAATATTTTTTTACTACATTTGGTACTATTGTAATATTATTCTAAAAGTTACGAGAATCCATTTCTTTATATTTCTACATAGAGTTAATAAAATTGTACAAGAAATTCACTAACCTATTAGCTTTTCTTATTCTTTAACAATTCCTTAAGAATGTCTCACATATTTATCAAATGTATATGTTTACACTATGTATAAAAATATTTTTCAAGAAACTGAACAATAGTATGTCAATTGATTCCTGATTAATTTAACTATACTGAAAAATCCTCAATAAAAACTTTATCTTTATCGTTATTAATTTTATTAAATTTAATTTCTAATATCACTTCAATTAATATTTTATTTAAAATATGAAAATATTCATTCAATATTCACTTGATATCGTATCGAAACGTGCAATCGAGAAAATATCTCATTTTCACACCTGAGATTTGTCGCCAATGTTCAATCTTGTTTCACAACTTAATTGTATAAACGAACTACATAACCTCGCTAGATGGACGAGGATATGACCAACGACTAATTAGCACTTCGTTATCTAGCCTCGTAAATTTATTCCACCGGTAGCGTTGTTATCGCTGTATACGAGCACAATACACGAGCGTACACTGTCACGGATCTTTGAAAACACGATTTCCTCTCTTTTTCACCATGGTTTCCTACGATCTCGTAGCGTATCATAAGGCGTTCACTATCGAGAAACCTAACCTCTCTACGTTGGCCGGAAGTTATATTTAAGTCTACCGCTCATGAGTTACATATTGTTACTTATCGGGGTAAATGTGTGAGAATCAGACAGATACAAGACGACTTTAAATGATTTCCTTTGAATTCCATCGTGGAACACCGGTGTTTTAACAGTTTTAAGGATGTTATGGAGACTAATTTTATGTTCCACTTCCGGCAAGAATCGTTATGGGTATGTTGGTATGTAGGAGTACTGCTTTTTCTTATTTTTCATAGTCGTTTTCCATAATTGAGTTGATAATCGAGACTAGTATGATATTCATGAGGTGCGTTTAACGATTATTAAAATTCTGATTCCTGCAGGAGATATAAAAATAAGTTTATTAACCTTAGAGTGACTGATTCTGAAAATAATTATTTTAAAATTTTTGTTTTCCTTATAAATAATCTATTTTTAATATAATTTTTGTTTTGTATAATTTGTAATATAAGATCTTGGTAAAGAATTCATGAATTTGTTTTCATTTTCGAAATTTTATATTGTAGATAATTTTAATTAAAAAATCTAAAACTTTTTCTAACACCGATTTAAAAAAAATTTATTGAAAAATGTTAATGTATCAATCATTAAATAAACTGAGATGAATGTAAATCAGGATAATGTTATAATAAATATAATATATGATGTAATAACAAAGGAATTTTTAACGTAATCAAGATGACCCAACCGCCTTCGCATTTACGTGACCTACTTGATATCAATTGCTAAGAATCTTGGAGAATAATTCTTCTGTATCAGCCTTGGAAGAATTCATCCTTTCTCTATTGATCACAATCCATGTATAGAAAGCTAATATATTCTAACAATACTCAATATATTTCTTTATCCAAAAAATTAAAAAAAGAAATGTTATCATCTTTTATACAAGAATATGAATTAAGGATTTATGTTTCAGCTAGCTACAAAGAAAATGATAAAAAATTTAATTTTCACATACATTTTAAAATAGGATATTTGAAGATAGCAACATAATAGAATTAAATTTTATCTAATTTTATATACCAATTACAAATTAATTGGATAAAGATAAATATATTAATTAATAATAATAATAAATTAAGTTAATTATTTACAATTGTTATTAGATTGTAATCTAACAAATTTTATTTTCTTATCTGCATTTACAATTTTGATTTAACAGTATGATCTTGATTTAAGAAATAGATAGATTGATTTATTTTTCACTAATGATTATTTAATTTTCTATCAATTTTTCAAGAATATATTTCTCTTATAATTAAGATTTCTAAGTTATTAAATTTGAAATACAAAAAATAACAGATTTTAAAAATATTTAAAATTTTTTAATCTATTAATTAAATTAAATTTAATTTAATTAATTTAATTAATTTAATTAATTTAATAAGAAACTTTATATTCAGAACTGATTTTACTATCTTATAATAATTGTATATTAAATATATCCAATAGGCTTTACTATATTTTGTAATTTTGTATATTTTATAATATAGGTAAATTAACGGTAAATAAAGATATAAAATAAAATAATCAATTTAGAAAACATGATATTAAAAAAGACTCATGGTTTTCAAAAACTATAAGATTTTTAAATTTCAAAATATTATATCTTTATAAAAAAAAAAAATAATTTCTCACCCATCATATCCAAACGAATAAATTCGCATCGCATAAAATTAATTTTCAAAAACAACACTTCAACACTTCTTCTTTATCATCCAATCATCTCCAATTATCCAAACATAACCACTCACATCCACTAAGATTCGATAAGATTCGTCATCTTGACGTTGATTGCTCGTTTCTCGCACATGAAGCGTGTGGAATGCCAGGCATCCGTGAAACAAGCTTTCACATTGCGTATCCTACAAAGTTGCGTATCATCACTCGATGATCGATGATAGACTTGAAAAGATTCGACCATGAATCGCAACAATTGATCTCGGCCACGGAGCTTCGAATTCCTCGGCTGTCATATTAAGGAAACGAGTTTTAGGTTAGGTTAAGTGAAGAAGGTACGGGAGTAGTACTGATCGAGCTGTATCGATTCGCACAATTATTTAACGTCCATTAATTAATTCAATTAGAGTGACAGCGATTGTTCGTTAATTAATTCGATTTACACATAAGAATCAAACTATATTTATCCGCTGGATGATCAACCGATCGAATGTTAACAGATACGTGTTAGAGGCGCACATACAAGCCCTCTTGTGAGTGAAATAATAATCATTAATATCGAAACTGTTGATATATTCGAGCGATTCGATATTAAAATTCTCAATAGAGTATCGATATATATCGATAGAAATTGATATTGATCTAAACGTTTCGTTAATAAAATTCTTAGAAGATCAAAGTTTATCGATTAAAGTTTTAGATAATCGATATCACTTTTCGATATTAATATCTTTTAATATTTATAATATCAGGATTATAATATGATATTAAATATCGAATGAATTATAATATACATATAAATACATTAGATAAGAGAATAAATATATTATATTATGTTAATAAATAAAAAGATTATATCTTTATAATGGAATTGGAAAACAAGCTATATAATTTAGTTAGAAAAAAATGTTGTAAATAAAAATTATTTTATACACATAATTTTACGTATTTTAATAAATTTCCAAATAATTATTAAATACACACGAATTTAATCAAATTCCATTAAATTATTAAAGCGCCTTAATAATTCCATCTATGATATATTTCAGCTCGAATCGAAAGAGGCGAACACGTGTATCGACGTCCACAAGAATTCACTCGAAGACGACACCAGAGTCCTTTGTCGTCGTCGTGACCAACATCTTGGTTCCAGGCACACCAGGAGGTTCCATTGTTCCGGATGTCGTCTCAGATTCAACGACTGAACGTCACGTTCCCCGGCGATACGCCGTCCTGTCGTCGTCCTCTTATCGGGCCACTCGCAGAGCCACCTTGGCAGCCTCGAATAAGCGGGCGTGACTTTGCACCGACGGCTAATCGGATCGAGAAGACGCGAAAACGCCAATCCTATAATTCCGTCGTAGCGGAAGGTCTCGCGGCCTTCTTCCTGTCGGATTTTTCGCGATGGAACGATGGACGAGTCTTGACGGATCCCCATCCACAAATGTAGCAGAACGAGTGTATTGAAATATTTTGGGGAACACTGTTCACGAATTGAGGTGAGTTTAAATAAGTAAAATAATATTGAGACGGAATCATATCGAATGAGACAAAATAACAAGAATAAATGAAAAGAATCAAATTTTAATTGTCACGTGATCTTACCTTAATTATATATCGTTATATAAGTTATATTGTCAGTTTTGAATATTGGCAAGCAAATTATTATTGAAATGTAAATAAGTGAGATAATTAATCATTTTATTATTTTTTTAATTTATATATTGTATTGGTAAAATGATTTAAATTAATTAATAATTAATCATTTTATTTTTTTTTAATTTATGTATTGTATTGGCAAAATGATTTAAATTTAAAAATTAAATTAGAGAAACAAATTTACGTGCTACTTACCTTTTTTATGAAGTAACAAATTATGAATCGGATAAATCAAAATAATTTCATTTCATTTTTAAAACTTCTTTTACACCCTTTCACGCTGATAAACGAATTAACTAAATAAAAATTACCTTCCAAAACCTGTAATAATCTAAAAATACAATACTGCAAGGACACGTGTATCCTACTACACGTATCCCATACTCGATATTTCGACACGAACTCGAATACTCGGTAATTTGCAAATCAATTTCCTCGAATCCCCTATCACGCGAAAATGCTAATTACACGTAAGAGTGCTTGTCACCTATATGTACAACGATTAAAAACGTTTTGCAGCGTATCAAAATCCTGTTACACCTCTTCCATTTACTCGATCGGTCCCCTGTTCACCGTGGAACGGAACGAAGGCACGCTTGTAAAAAGTGACATCGAGAGGAGGTGGAGGGGGGCGTATTAAAAAAAACGCAAATGCGACAAGGTGGTAAACGCAGACAGGCAATTTCTCAAGATTACTTTGAA